GGGAGGGGGATTGGGGAGAGGGGGAGGGGACGCCTGCTCTAAGAACCCCCTTTTGTTCATATCTGCGGACGCTGGCGTCCGCAAATTCCTGATTGGCTGAGCCGTAATGAGTAACATATTGAAATGCGTGTTTCACAAATCAACAAACAGTCGAGATGGCAGCGGTAGACGTGGATGTCGTAGAGAGTGCTTTGAGAGATGTGAATTTATCTAGTGGCTGAGAGAAACTGTTTTAAAACCAGAGCAAGAATCAGTAGTAAGGGCTCTTTTAGCCGACAGAGATGTTCTGGCGGTTTTGCAGACCGGATACGGCAAGAGTTTAATTTACCAAATGTTTGTACGCGCGAAGAACTACGAGCTAAATGGTAATGCGGCGATTCTCGTCATTTCATTTCGCCACTGAAAAGTATTATCGAAGACCAATTGCAGGAGATGGAATTGTTGGGCTACCCAGCGAAAGAACAGGCGCTCCCTTCCCTTTTCACTTTCTCCCTCCCCCCTCCCCCTCCCCTTTTTGCGCCTGCCACGCAGGCTATACAGCATGGACAATATGTTTAGCAAAACAAACTATCAAAAAAAAGTTAATAATGAGGTAATAAAAGGTTGCTGCTTATGTTAAGTTTGTTTTAAGTGTTTGAATTTTACCCTAAAAAAAAACAAAAACAAAAACAAATAAAGAGAACTACATGTACCGAAATACCATGCAACAAAGGATTCCATAGAATGAAAATAACAAAGATTAAGGTCCTAGTTGAAGAACTCAGGCGCTTGCCAAGTCATTAAAAAAGGATGAAACAGTGACAAGGGTCTGCCCTCGTCCAATTTCCAGCAAAGCCTGCTCCAGGAAAGTTAGGATGGCTTTGCTTTGATTATATGAGACATTAAAAATGTAAAAACTCCCCAGCAATCCAAGCAGAGCATCTAAAATCGATTTCTGGGGGAGTTGGCAAATAATTCCTCCCTCTGCCACAATGTAAATTATATCTATGTCAAAGATATCTCCGACAATTAAAATCTGGGGCTGGACAAATCCTGCTATTGCATCATCCACTTCTGCATCCCTCTGCAATACAAAAAAACATAATGTTACAATTTTAGAAATGATAGCAAAATGTTCATAACCACACATTAAGTCAGTATGGTCAACCCTTCTTTTAAACAATACACCTGCATTATTGTACTGTTAATAATTTTGTCACAAAATAAATGGCTTATCAAATTTATTTAAGTAAGCACCTGTCCCAAAGGTAGAAAAAGTTAATAAGCATCCACTCTCAAGGTCTAATATTTGTAGACCTTGAGAAAGAGTTTAATTATTAAAGCTTAGGGCACTTAGGAAATAAATGTGGTATTTCATTTTAGATTATAAGTATACTTCCAATATACTGTATTTTGTTTGTTGCAATTATGTTTATCGCTGGCGACCCTACAGTATTTTCATACCACAATATCAGGAATAATCACGGGTTAAAGAATGAGGCACAGCTGACTTTGAGATGACTGGATTTTGGACTAAACACAGAGTGGAGTTTTTGATTTACCTTCTCAAAAGAACAAGAATTCTTGGAAAAAAAGTCAAAGATGAAACTCGCAGAATGTTTTGGTAATTAGTATACAATATCCAAACCACTCAGTGTCATGGTTGTGATTTTGAATGTGATTTTATGAATAATTAATGAGTTTGAGAACTTTATTTCCAAGTTTCCTACCTCTACAATACTGACAACTTCCTCCTGGGTTCCTTTCTTCCTGCCGCCGCGATTCCGCAGAACCTTGTTTATCACCAAGAAGGATGCCCGGCTTTTCATTTCTGACATTTAAATAAAGAAAAAAAAATATTATTAAAACACACCTGGTAGAAAAATTTAATAAGCACACACCCCCTCCCACCGGACAAATTAAAAAATACTGAATTACACAAGAGGAGTATCAAATACTATTTCTTCACTGACTTTGAACCTCTAGATTCACTGTTTGACAAATTTATTTATTTAATTAATTCATTGTTTTTCCACAAAACCATGAGAAGACACACAGGGCTTGCACTGTAAGTATCCCGGAGAGCTCCATACAATTCCTTATAATTTTGTTATAAGGAATTGTATGGAGCTTTCGAGGAGACTTTTCTTAATTAGCTTAGGCGCGGCGGATTTTGTCACGTATGATCAGCGCGAGGTGTTTTTCCCGACACCCTTCTGTCAGGAAAATGTCATCATATGAAAGCAAAACAGACACGATTGTGTCGGCAGGCCGAAGCCGGCAAAAATAAAAGGCTTTTCTTCTTCCATTTCAGAGGTCAGTTTTGTTTCGATCTGGTCAAAAATCAGGTTTGTAGGTTGTCGGTTATAAAATATTGTCTTATTCTGTTCTCAAGGACCTTTAGAAAACGAGACAAACGAGATAATTGACTAGAGAAAGAAGCGTGAAAACGCTTTTTTGGAAGAAAATTTTTTTTAATTCCCGCAGCGATTTTGCGAAATCGCGAAGCGCAATATATTCAGTTTCTTCCAAAGCCGTCATGATTAAGCAGTGTAATGCCATCACAACTAAAAATGAATTTAGTTTGTATCGCAAAAGCCGCGAAAATAGAGCTGAAAAAAAAAAGGGATCGGAAAAATTAATAAAATCACCAAGAAACCGTCTCGCGGGAGCTTTGTCAAACAAACCGTTGGTACGGTTTATTTAACCTAACCTGGAAAAGGAGACGTCTGCACGCAGAATGCATTTCATCCTACATGTAGTTGTGATTTCCAGAACGGACCTCGGGAGCCTCATTGCCGTAATATCTTCTACATTACAGAAACCACAGCAGAATCGCCCTGCTCGCGTGCTAACTTTCCGCTCCAATACGTATTATGACTATACAGTACCAGTGAATTGTTTCAAAATTTAAAGCGGCCGAAACTTATTTCCATCAGCGCGTAGTTAGTTAGTTAAGCAATAATAATGCACAGCACTGTAGATAACACGGTTCTAGAATATCTGACGGCTTCGCGTTTTGTTCGTCGCTGCATGCGATTTAATCGCTTATAACCTAACAGAAAATGTAAATGTACCTGAAGGAAATACCGTGTATTGCCTTACCTTAACGCTGTGATGTGTGTAAATTTGTCTTTTGCTATGGTTTTAGACAATACGACTTCTCCTGACTATCAATTGTGCGTCAAAACAAGCGCGATAATGAAATAGTCGAAGTGCCATGGTGTAGCACTTTATGACAAAGTTTTAACTGGAAAACTTGTTGCCATCTGATGTACACCTGTATAGTCTATGTTTGTAAGCTCTGCCTAAAGAATCACTGGGTTACACTGCACCCACGGGTGTGCCACCTAAAGTGCAGCCTATGTTTGTTAGCTCTACCTAAAGAATCACTTGGTTACACTGCACCCATGGGTGTGCCACCTAAAGTGCAGCCTATGTTTGTTAGCTCTACCTAAAGAATCACTGGGTTACACTGCACCCATGGGTGTGCCACCTAAAGTGCAGCCTATGTTTGTTGGCTCTGCCTAAAGAATCACTGGGTTACACTGCACCCATGGGTGTGCCACCTAAAGCGCAGCCTATGTTTGTTGGCTCTACCTGAAGAATTACTGGGTTACACTGCACCCATGGGTGTGCCACCTAAAGTGCAGCCTATGTTTGTTAGCTCTACCTAAAGAATAGCTTGGTTACACTGCACCCATGGGTGTGCCATCTATAGTGCAGCCTATGTTTGTTAGCTCTACCTAAAGAATCACTGGGTTACACTGCACCCACGGGTGTGCCACCTAAAGTGCAGCCTATGTTTGTTGGCGCTACCTAAAGAATCACTGGGTTACACTGCACCCATGGGTGTGCCACCTAAAGTACAGCCTATGTTTGTTAGCTCTACCTAAAGAATCACTGGCTTACACTGTACTCACGGACGTTTACCTTGAAAATAATACAATGAAACTAGCATAGGAACTGTACTCCTATTCAACAGGTTTAAATTTTGAAATTTGCCTTCAGGCCTGAAAAGTTTTTGGGGCCTTTCGAGAAACGTGCCCCATTACACTTTATTCAAATAAATAAGGTAATTATGTAATCAAATGTGTATCATTTAGATAATCTTGGTGTGCTTTAATAATTAAAGCACACCAAGATTAGTCTTATTAGTCGAGAACTGTAACTGTAATTGGCCTGGTGGAATTAATGCACAATAATTTTATTCAAAATCTTGTATATTATCTTGTAGTAATTGATGAAAAAAGTTATATTTACCTTCTCTGTCACATTCCTTGTCCCCAAGAGCAGCTTCCATCTCCCCCATGATGTTAAGGATGACCTCGTCCTTGCTACCTGCAGCGTACTTTAAGATACGCTGCTGCCACATCTGTTACTTTTCCCTAACTTTTGTGGGGATGTCGTTGTCATCAAAGATGCGGCATAATTCAGCTTTAAGCTTTGAAAAAGTCAAACAGGAGACATCATGTTACACAGTGTTTTTGACAATGGTGTATTACTTGGAACATTAGAGAGAGGAATGTACATGTTCTTGATCAGTCTCCCATTTAAAAAATTATCTTAAATTTTATCCCCTAATTTTATGCATAATTTAATTACATGGCCGGCCAGAAATGATACGTGACTGAGCTGGTCACTGTGTCTGGAGACTGTCCAGGAATTATTTCTAGCCCTGTAAACTAGTCCCGAGTTTTGTTCAACATTTAAATCTACCCAAATGAAAACCAACCAGTTTGTACTTAACTTTAATATAGGAGTAAGTGTTAAACAATAATCTCAAAGGAAACAAGGAGGGTGGAGCATGTGTGTGTAGGGGGGGCCAGCTCTTAAACGTACTAGAGAAATGGAGTTGTAGCACCTACAAATCCCACACACAGTACATGTTTTTCTTCCAATAGGTAAACTATAGTAACTCAAGTGTTTTATAACTCACAGCAAAAAATAGTATTAGCCAAACATGGACATGAAATTTAAACCTTGCAGACAGAAACAAATTAACCAGATACTTACATGGGTGAAATTTGTAAGTGAGGGGTATTCCTTAAGCACATCTTTCACCAATTTAGGTGCCGTCAAGATGTCACGGCGGCGAAGGGCAAATGTTTTGTCCATAAACTCCTTATGGAGTTTATGTTTTTTAGGATTCTTCTTGATCTCGTCAAGATTTTCGTTGGCATACGTCCTTAAGGAGTCCACTGACTCCCCCTCAGGCAAATCTGGCACTGCTGACCAAGTGTGTGTCTTTGTTTTTTGCTTTTTTGGCTTAGGGTCACTTTGACTGTCCCTAATTCCTGCGAGGCGTTTGGGCTTCTGTATTTTCTTCATGCGATTGAATATTTTCAATTCTAAGTAACCCTGAAAGAAAGACAAATTGTTGTAGATGTTAGCTGTTGTGGTTCAATTTTATCCTTGGTTGAAATTATATTTTCCTTTGTTTATGGGTATGGTAATTTATGATACTGAGTCTGAAACAAGAAAAATAATTATAATTTCAACCAAGGATAAAAAAAAAAATTAAGCACAACATTACCTATGCATGTAAATCTTTTTCTTACAATCCTCAATGTATAAAAAAGAGGAGAGTACCACAACAGAATACCAAATAACTAGCTGCAACATATCTAACGTAAAAGCCAAGTTGTTAAAGTGAGTGATGCAACACTGTAATTAAAATAGGAGTTCACAGCAGCTCATATCAAATTGCCAAATCAATGATAAATGTAACACACAATAAAAATAAACTTAGTGGATAAATTAACTCAACCGTGACTTTCTGTATCCTTAGAAAAATTTAACTTTTGTCTATACCTTTGATGCGCATATACATTTTAGTTTAAGTAATAACCTTTACAATTAAGAAAAGAAAGATTTTAAATAGTTACTAGAGTACTAATTAAGAAAGAATTCTTCAAGACAGCTTTAAGAGAACTGTATAATGTTATTTTGACCTGTGTTAGTTTGACTATTGTACATACCCATTCTGTATCAGAATCAACTAATACCTTGCTGACCATGCAAGGATATTTAGCAATAATTTGCTTGGCAATGAACTCCCTTTCAGTCTTCTTGGGGTGGCTTGTGAAATGATTTATACTTATACAAACTTCTCGGACAAACTCGCTTTTCTGGTTAGCTGTTAAAAATCCAGCTTTTAGCCCAGTTTCAACTGAAGCAGAAAACTGAAAAAGAACAAGTCCATCAATTTTTTTGTCACCAACACACATTGTAGTACCCTCATTGGTACTTTTAGTGATGGTTGCCAACTAAATAAGTAAATTTTTTCCAAAAAATTTTAAATAATGCATTTTCAGATGTTCCATATGTTTATATAAACTGGCCATGAAAGGAAAATCATAAAGCATCCTGGTAGTAATACTTCTACCAGTTTGTTTCTCTTGGTAGTGAACAGTACCATTTAGAGCTCCATCTGTTTTTGATTTTCTACTTCTCTATTGGTTTAAGTGCTTGTGAGCGACAACAATACGTAGAGTGTACATGGAGAACTTTGAGTGAAAACAATACAGGTACTTGAAACAACACAACTCAGAAAAATTGCATCTACTAAATTCTCTTAAAAATGGCTTCCTTCATTTTTTTCCCGCACAGCCTTCAAAGGTCACCTATACATATATAACCTACCCGTGATGGGAGATGGAATTTTGACAGCCATCCAGGGAGAACCTAAATGGAAAGATCTTATTTTAGCGAATGAGCCACTGACATCTTGACTTTCAGATGTACATTGTAACATATTTCGTTAACATTGGTCATTGTTGTTCAGAGGGTAGGGACATTGGAATTTACTTTGCCTGGAGTTTAATATTTTCTTAGTTTGCAACCGTATGACAAGGCGGCCGTGTTGGGGTCAAACAAAGCACTTTTTTTTGAAAAATTTACGTGAAAATTAAGAGTTCGGTTCCCAGCAGAGGAAAATGCTTTTGTTCTTGACACCTAACATGACAGCCCTGATGTCAGGTGCAAACCAGCAACACACACAAAGGCGAAAGACATTCATTGATTCCGGTCTCACCTTATCTTCTGAGCTTTTCTTGCTCCTCTCGCTGTTTGAAGCGGTAGTAGCTTTCTTTTCTTCCTGTAATGATAAATAAAATGCAGAGAATCTTTATGAAACAAATACGTAATCAACTGGCTACTGCAACAAGTTTTTCTGGCTAGTGAGGCACTTTTCCCATATGCAAATGAAAGGAAAGGACAATAAAAATATATTAATATGACACTTTAGCATGGTAGATTTCTATATATTTTGTTTATAGAATCTGAAAATGGGAAATAATTTTATCAGTATCCATAACAACAACAAAAGTTAAATAGTTGGGAATGTAAATTGAAAAAAATCAAAAAAGAGAACTCAAGAAACTAGTGGGACGGGCAGGGCAGGAAAATATAATCACGTAAAAGCCTTACATTCACAGGTGGTGTGCAGCCGTCCTCTTTTGGCTGCCCCTTTTCCTTCGGAGTTGAAGAAAATACAGGGCTTTATCTTCCTGAAATCTCCCAATCTTCGTCGACGCTGCCACAACTAGAAAAATCAAGCGTACTTGTACTGGAGAATGTACTGGAGCCACTACGTACACTGCAACTCGTGCCCGCTGATGTGCACGAAGAGATGGTAGACGATGTAGGTTCTGAGCACTGAAACGGAAAGAGCCAAAACGTATTTAAGTAAAAACACAACACAGAAGTAAAAGAAAAAGATCAGTTAACGCTTTCAATAATTGAAAATGAAGTTTTCCAAAAGATGAGAACAGTAAGCTAAAAGTATAATTTTCAACTGTATATCCAAGTGCCGAGGGCTAAAAACCGTTGGGCTGTAACTCGATCTAAGCGCCAAAAGTAGAGCGCATGATTTTTGGCAGCCGCTGAGGCTCAACATGCCCCAGAGGCCTTTGCACGCATTTGGCGGTAAAAATGATAAAGTTGTAGATTTTTACCTCCATCGAAGCAATTTGGTCGTCCGCAGTTTCTGCAGAAATCACCAGTTTCTTGAACTTTAGACGCTCTTTTATCTTGGGAAAATAATGGCGCAACTCATCCGCATCTTGGGTAATATCTTCAAGATCTTTTCCGTCGATACTGTCGCTTTCTCGAAGGTAAAAGAAGCCAACAATTGAATTGGTTTACCGTTCCACGTAAAGTTGCGAGAAATCAAACCTAAAGCTTACCTATCCTATCGTAAGTCTCAAGAGAAAATCCATGGCTCCGAAGCCAAGACATAACCTCCTCAGCGGTGAAGTCACGACTGAAATCCATCTTGATATGAAAATGTGAGACTAAAGCTTAAACGTTTCGTCGCAGAACTCTTCTGTAAAGACCCTCTGGCAAAAGAGGTCGAATTTTGGAGGGAAATCATATTTATATCCAAATTTTAACCATTAACGACTGGTTTACATGTTATGTTGTGTTAGCCCAATGAAAAGGCTGATTTCGCTTCACCCACGTTAATGAGTCACTCCATTCGTATTCGTGCATTCCGCAAATATTAAACGATTGGGATAAACGCAGTCATGGGATTTTCCTGTAACATGTGCAATGCTGTCATTGAGAATTTTTCACAACTCATCAGTCACTACGAGAGAGTGCACAGGGAAGATCCGAACTTTTTTGTTATATGTCGAATTGATGGATGTGGACAAACTATAAGACGTTTTATGGCTACAGAAGCCATATTAACAGAAGACACAAAGCAATTTTACAAGTTGCACGTGACATTCAGCAGCCACAGGATTTAGTACAAAATATTCATATGGAGTGTGAAGAAGAAGAAGAAGCTGGTGATGTAATGGCTGGAGAACAACTATCAGATGAAGGTGAAGTTGATGCACCAGGTGATCAGCTCAGGAGCACTAGTGCAGCATATCTCTTACGAATTAAGGAAATGCACAATCTCTCACAAACAGCAGTGGATGACATTGTACAGAGTATCAATACTCTTGTCTCTACTGCTGTCAAATCTGTATGTGTCAACATTGCTAATCAGCTTCAGAACATAGTACATGAAGACGATGACGTATTGCAAAACATCACTTGGCAAACTCTATTTGAGCAAAATTCTCAAGAGGCAAGTCCATTTAAAGACCTGGAAACAGAGAACAGACAAAGACAGGCATATAAAGAAATGTTTGGTCTCGTTGTAAGTATGAAAAAAAAAACACCTTTATAAACACAGGCAGATTGCAGAACATAGTACATAAAAAGATAACGCAGGGTGCAAAGAAAATCATTTTTACAGCTTGCCATTCGGGCAAGCTGAAGCTAGCATTTACTAGCCCAGACGTCATTTCAACTAGCCCCAAAAACTTTTTGTTCTTCTGTTTTTCAAATTCCTCATAAAACATCACTTGCCCGTTGGGCAAGTTAAGCACAGAATTCACTAGCCCGATCGCAAAATCCACTAGCCCCGGGCTGTCGGACACGACTTTTTTGCACGCTTTAATGGCATTAATATGTCATTTTATGCTTATCATGTCATAGGTATAAAACCAGGCTTTAATTACAATACAGCGGAACCCTGTTAAATGCAATGACCATAGAGCCAGGGAAACCAGGTTGTTATTATCAAGTTGGTCATCTTAACAATGTTTACAGATAACAAAATGACTGAGCTTTTTTAACATTTGGTTTGAAAGAATATGGTCATAATAACTAGATGCTTTTACATGATGGTTGGTGAGGGGGTTCCACTGTACTTATGTACACAGTATGTTATCCTTCTTTTAAAGGAACCTGTCAAACGTGTCCTTGGCAATTACCACGGTTATCGACAGAAGGGCTCAAAAAGGAGACGGGTTCAACTTCATGATGAAGTCATTGAGATACCATTACTTGAAAGTTTAGAGCAGTGGTTGAACAATCCATCAATTCTGAAACAGGTG